CGAGCCCGCGACCGGCACGGAGGCTGGCCAAGCGCCCCCCTTGGATGGGCCGATTCTCCGCCTTCACTACCATAGGGTGGGAGAGAAGGGAGGATTGGGAGGTCCTTCTCCTCCTCCTCCTCCTCCTCCTCCTCCTTTTTATTCTCCTCCTCCTCTTCCTCTCCTCCTCCTCCTCATCCCTCCTCCTCCTCCTCCTCCTCCTCCTCCTCCTCTTCTCCTCTTCCTCGTCCTCCTCCTCTTACCTTTGTTAGTGGTGGTGGAAAATCGGCCCCTCCCCCCCCCTCCCCCTGAAGCTTCCCCGCGCCCCGCGGCGGCCCAGCACTCGTTCGGGCCAGCGGATCGGGGGTTGCTAGAAGTGCCTCTGGCCCAAGTCGGGCGGGGCTGGGACAAGGACAATTCCGTTCCAGAGCGTTCCGTTAAGCTGTCAGAGCGCTCTCGATTTATCCCAACCCGATTTTATCCTCGTCCTGGCTTCGTCTTACTCGTTCGGGCCAGCAGATGGGGGGGTGCTGAAGGTGCTCCTGGCCCAAGGTGCTCCCAGCTTCTCGTTCAACGCTGGAGCCCCTGTGGCCTTCTGAGCCTCGCGGGGGGTGCTGTGGAGGTCGTGGGGGCCTCCTCGGAAATCCTGGGGGTACCTTGGGTCAGGGGCGCCTCTGGCAACACCTGACAGGAAGGGCGGGCAGGTGAGAGGCTCTGGGTTTGGCGAGGCTTTTGGGCCTCTTCGGCCACCGGGGGCTGTTTTTTCGGGCCCTGGGGCCGAAACCAACTGCCAGATGGGGCCCGGGAGGGGTTTGAGGATTGATTTTGAGTGGATTTTTTTGGGGTTCGAACCAGTTCAGACTCCCCAGCCGCATCCGAGTCTCTAGTCCTCCCCGACGGGGTCCGAGTCCGATGGGGTCGGAGGACGGCGCCGCATCGCAGATGCATCGACGATGATTCACCGGCGATGCCGATCGCGCCGCATCGCGATGCACTGGCCATGCCAGTAGGGATTGGGACAGGTGAAACCCTAGGTCTCCCCGATGATGTCCGAGTCCGTGGGTTCGGAGGATCGCGCCGCATCGCCGATGCATCGGCAATGAGGCTCGATGTGATACCCAGTTTCGGTGGCCACATGCGAGCCCTACCGTACCACCTCACGATTTCTAACGGGGGAGGTGGGGTATAGGGTTCGCATGCGGCCTCCTATGGTTGTCTCCACGCCGATGCATCCCCGAGGCATCGGCGATGCGGCGCGATCCTCCCACCCCATCTGCTCGGACCTCGATTGAGAGGCCTCCGCAGCCGCCGCCGCCGTCTCCGACCGATTGTTTCAAGGTTCGAGGATGTTTTTTTGTTTTGTTTTTCCCAACCATCCTGTGGTGTTGGGTCCTCGTTTTGAAGCGACGGTCCCCGCGTTCCTTCCTTCTTTCTTTCCTTCTTCCTCCCCCTCCCTCCTCCCTTCCCTGCCTCTGCCCTACGCATGTCCTCGTTGTCGTCGTCGTCATCATCATCACCATCACCATCACCATCACCATCACCATCACCATCACCATCACCATCACCATCACCATCACCATCACCATCATCATCATCATCATCATCATCATCATCATCATCATCATCATCATCATCATCATCATCATGTCATCGTCATGTCATCGTCATCGTCATCGTCATCGTCATCGTCATCGTCGTCGTCTTGTCGTCGTCGTCATCATCATCATCACCATCACCATCACCATCATCATCATCATCATCATCATCATCATCATCATCATCATCATCATCATCATCATCCAGTCATATCATCATCATCGCCATCATCAATCATCATCATCATCATCATCATCATCATCATCATCATCATCATCATCATCATCATCATCATCATCATCATCATCATCATCATCATCCATCATTCATCATCATCATTCATCATTCATCATCATCATCATCATCATCATCATCATCATCATCATCATCATCATCATCATCATCATCATCATCATCATCATTCATCATCATCATCACCACCATCATCATCATCATCATCATCAGCATCATCATCATCATCATCATCATCATCGTCATCACCACCACAACCATCATCATCATCGACGTCATGATCATCACCGTTATCGTCACCACCATCTCCACCAATTTCGCCACACCCCCTGTACGTTTCGTGGCCCCATAGGGAGCCCCATCGAATGCCCCAATGGCGGTGTTCGCATTCGTCTCCCCCGCCCAGCACAGGGTTTCGCGGCCCCATAGGGAGCCCCACCTAAGGCCCTAGTTGCGGTGTTCGCATGCGTCTCCCCCACCCAGCACAGCGTTTCGCTGGCCCCATAGGGAGCTCCACCTAAGGCCCCAGCGGCGGTGTTCGCGTGCGTTCCCCCACCCAGTACGGCGTTTCGTGGCCCCACAAGGAGCCCCACCTAAGGCCCCAGTAAGGCCCCAATGGCGGTGTTCGCATGCGCCTCCCCCACCCAGGACAGCGTTTCGTGGCCCCACAGAGAGCGTCACCTAAGGTCCCAGTGGCGGTGTGCGCATGCGTCCCCCCACCCTGTACAGCGTTTCGCGGCCCCACATCGAGCTCCACCTACGGCCCCAGTGGCGGTGTTCGCATGCGTCTCCCCCGCCCAGGACAGCGTTTCGTGGCCCCACAGGGAGCTCCACTTAAGGCCCAAATGGCGGTGTTCGCATGCGTCCCTCCCACCCGGGACAGCGTTTCGTGGCCCCACATCGAGCTCCACCCGGCCCCTGTGGCGGTGTTCGCGTGAGCCTCCCCCGCCCAGCAAAACGTTTCGTGGTCCCGCAAGGAGCTCCACCTAAGGTCCCAGTGGCGGTGTTCGCATGCGCCTCTCCCACCCAGTACAGCGTTTCGCGGTCCCTCATCAAGCTCCACTTGAGGCCCCTATGGCGGAGTTCGCATGCATCTCCCCCACCCAGGACGGCGTTTCGTGGCCCCACAGGGAGCTCCACCTACGGCTCCAGTGGCGGTGTTCGCATGCGTCTCCCCCACCCAGGACAGCGTTTCGTGGCCCCACAGAGAGCTCCACTTAAGGCCCCAATGGCGGTGTTCGCATGCGTCCCTCCCACCCAGGACAGCGTTTCGTGTTCACATGCGTCCCCCCCACCCAGGACAGCGTTTCGCGGCCGCACAGCGAGCTCCACCTGGGTGGGGCGACCTGCGTAGCTGCGGAGCCCTGCGTGGCGTACTGCAGAGCAGGCACCGCCTCGTGGTCCACAGAGGGAGGCACCCTCACACATGTCGCGCCCCCCCCCCAAAAGAATCCCCACCGAAGACTATACACGCGATCGCGGTACCCACTGCTGAATATGGTTGGGTGCTTCGCCAGGCTAATTTGTTTTGGTTTTTCCCAACCCTCCTGTGTTGGGAATTCGTTCTGAATAGAGCAATGTGGTCGCCCAGTCCTTCCTTCTCCTCCCCACCTCTCCTCCCCTCCTCCTTCTCTCCTGTTTCTGGTGTTCCCCTCTCCTCTTCCCTCGTGCCGTCTGCGATCTGCGCAACCGTCGGGCTCACTTTGGGTCGCGGATCACCTCGGGCCTCGCTGGGAGGCCCAGCGGAGGTGGGTCCCACGCGGATCACCTCGGGACCTCGCCGCCCCCTGAGGGGCTTGCGATCTGTGCAACGGTCGCCACTTTCGTGGGCTCCTGGGAGGCCCAGCGGAGGTGGGTCCCACGCGGATCACCTCGGGACCTCGACGCCCCTGGGGGCCTTGCGATCTGCGCAACTGTCGCCACTTTCGTGGGCTCCTGGGAGGCCCAGCGGAGGTGGGTCCCACGCGGATCACCTCGGGACCTCGCCGCCCCCTGGGGGGCTTGCGATCTGTGCAACGGTCGCCACTTTCGGGCTCCTGGGAGGCCCAGCGGAGGTGGGTCCCACGCGGATCACCTCGTGACCTCGCCGCCCCCTGGGGGGCTTGCGATCTGTGCAACCGTCGCCACTTTCGTGGGCTCCTGGGAGGCCCAGCGGAGGTGGGTCCCACGCGGATCACCTCGTGACCTCGCCGCCCCCTTGGGGGCTTTGCGATCTGCGCAACGGTCGCCACTTTCGTGGGCTCCTGGGAGGCCCAGCGGAGGTGGGCCCCACGCGGATCACCTCGGGACCTCGCCGCCCCTTGGGGGGCTTGCGATCTGTGCAACGGTCGCCACTTTCGTGGGCTCCTGGAAGGCCCAGCGGAGGTGGGTCCCACGCGGATCACTCGGAGGTACGTCATACGCGTTTCTTTCAACGCCCTTGTGTTTCCATTTTGTGTATTTGCCGTTCCTCTTCTTGCTGCGCTCTTCTGAAATCTCTGCCGGGTGCTCTCCTTGCGCACTGCGGGTCCTTCAGAATGCCAGTCAGCATTGATCGGTCTTGAGTATACTCGCCACATGTGTAGAAAAGGTTGGGCACGACACAGTTTTTTTTTTTTTTTTTTTTTTTTTTTTTTGTTTTTTTGCATTTGGTCTTTTTCGGGCTTTGAAGGTCTGATGGCGTTTCGGTCGGTCCTCTGTTGTCTTTCAGCCCTGGGATGTTTTCCGGCAGCCGAGCCCCGCATAGCGCAAGGTTTCTCCTCGGAAGCGGCTCGGGGTGCAAGGCTTTCGGGCGTTCTCTTCGGGATCTCGGCGGTCTTCCAGTCTCGGGATGCGCTCCAGCAGCTGCGCCGCGCCGAGCGCGTTCTGGGGGTTGCCCGGATCGTCTCGAACGGCCGCTGTCAGGGTGCGCCTCAGGTTTCGAGTAGGGGATCGACTGCATAATGATTTGCCCCAAATTGACGATCCAACAAATCCGCGTGGCCATCCGAGAATTCATGCTTATGTCATTGCGTGTTCCCCGAGTTTGAAATACGAGGTTTTCGGGCGTTCTCGTCGGATCTTGGCGTTGTCCCAACTTGCGAATGCCTTCCAGCGGCTGCGCCTCGCCGAGAGCGTCCCCGGGGTGTCCGTATCGTCCAGAACTGCCGCCGAGGGCCCGAGTTGTGGCCCGAGATCCGCCAAGGACGGGGATAGGCTCAGGCGGGGATGCATGGACCCCTACGGCTCGAGATCCACCAGGGACGGGGAGAGGCTCAGGCGTGGATGCCTGGACTCCCAGTCGCCGACTCCTAGCCGATGGGGGCCCGATGGCCCACCCCGCCCAGGAGCGTCCAGTTTCTCTCTGCCGCGGGCCTGTCGCCGACGTACCGGCGATGTGGATCGCCGATGCAAGTTCGATGTTCCCCCCCTGAGCTGGTCCCCACCTTCGAATAGGGGATCGACTACATAATTGATTTAAGCAAACATTGCTTTTCCCGTCGAACCCATGAAGACTGTGTGACATGTTCTTAGACCTACGAATGCTCTACGCATTGTTCATGGCCGCGGCGAGAAAATCAGTTTCGGGGTAAATCAATTCTGTAGTCGATCCCCTTCTCGACACCCATCGTTCCCCCTCATTCGAGACTCAATGCTCTTATCGGGGGCGGCCAAGTGTGTGGTGACGACTAGGAGGGGGTGGACGTCATGGCGGGGGCCTTCTACCTCCCCAGATGTCTTGGCGCCTCTTCATATTGGAACATGTCCCTGGCCCCCCCCCCCGGCCGCGCACATTCCGCCGGCCACGATTTGCCCTCCCCCCCCTCTCTTGGACGCCCCTCTCTTGGACGGCCCCGATTGTAAGCGTTCTTGCCTTTCTTTGCGCCTGCAGAGGCGTCTGCAGGCCTACAGTCGCCGCCGCCGCCGCCGCCGCCGCCGCCGCCGCCGCCGCCGCCGTCGTCGTCGTCGTCGTCGTCGTCGTCGTCGTCGTCGTCGTCGTCGTCGTCGTCGTCGCTGTCGTCGTCGTCGTCGTCGTCGTCGTCGTCGTCGTCGCTGTCGTCGTCGTCGTCGTCGTCGTCGTCGTCGTCGTCGTCGTCGTCGCTTTCGTCGTCTTCGTCTTCGTCTTCGTCGTCGTCGTCGTCGTCGATGTCTTCGAGGTTGTTGAGTTCGTGGTCATTCTGGTCTTCGTTGAGTTTCTCTGTGTCTTTCTCAGGGGGGAGAACGATCGAGTGGGAGGACGAGGAGGGATGGGGAGGACAAGTAGCGGGAGGGGCAGAGGGAGGGTGAGGGGGAGGAGGGGAGGGACGGGAGCATGCGGAGGCATGCAGAGGACGAGAGGTAGGGACAGGTGGAGCATCTTGGGTGCTCCCTAGCGTGCCTGGGGGCATCTCGCATGACTATTTTCCAGAGGCCCCAGGCGTGCTTCGGAATGCAGCTTTCAGCGTGTCCCAGTGGGCAAGTCCTGGGGCTCTCTCGGGGGCCTCTTGGGGTGCATTGGAGGCGCTTGGAGCCCGGCCAAGAGGCCAACATCTTTTCATATAATTGCATTTTTTGTTGTTTGTGGGCAAGGGGGAGGGAGCTTTTCGCATATGTACGTTTACGGCTGCAACAGCGTACAGGACAGCCCAAGAGGCCCCGAAGATCGCCCCAATATAGCTCCAATGTTCCCCCAAGGATGGGCCCAAGAGGCGCCCAAGAATGCCCAAGAGAGGTCTAAGAGGGGGAACTCAGAGGGGCCTGTCGGGCCCTCCACTCCTCCAAATGCCCCCCGCGACCCAGCTCCTGACACTGGAACCTCCCCATGCTGCTGCTACGCAGCTGCTGCCCCACCTCCGATATGCAACGACAGCATTCGAAATCAGCTGAGTGCTTCCGGAATTCATCAGCTATCATCCGAAAGCATCGGGGAGAGAGCCTCCTCCCCCCCTCACTTTCTCCCGCCCGCCCTCCTCCCTCCTCCTCCCCCTCTTCCCCATCCTCCCACTCTCCCCCTGCCTCCCCGCCTCCCCCTTTTGCCCCTCCCCCCCTCCTCCCCCCTCCCTCCTACACATGCTCCTCCTTCCTCTCCTCCTCCTGCTCCTCCTCCTCCTCCTCCTCCTCTGGGGCTTCTGCTGCTCCCCCTCCCCCTCTCCCACTCATCCCCCCTCCTGCCCCTGCCCCTTCTGCCTCTCCTCCTCTTCCCTGCTGCCCCCCCCCTTCCCGCCCTCCCCGCCCCTCCGCTCTCCGACCCGACCAGGCCCTCGCCGCGAGGCACATCGCGGGTGCGGCGGCAGCCGCCGCCACGTCCGCCCTGGCGGCCCTCCTCCTCGCCTTGCCTCGGGGCCGCCCTCCTCGGCGGCGTCGCCGCCGCCGTCGTCGTCCTCGCCGTCGTCCTTGTCGGTGTCGCCGCCGTCGACGCAGGCGCCGGCGCCGTCGTCGGCTCCGGCGTCGTCGTCTGATCCGGCGTCGTCGCCGTCGTCGGTGCAAGAGGGGGAGGGAAGGGGAGGGGGGGGGGGAAAGAGGGAGGAGGAGGAGGAGGAGGAGTAGGAGGAGGAGGAGGAGGAATGAGGGAGAGGGGAAGGGGTAGGATGAGGAGGAGGAGGAGGAGGAGGAGCCCCCCACCCACCTCTTTGTCCCCCTGCGAGGAGGACCCACTTTGCACATGTGGTAATGGCAGCGGTGGAGAACAAGCAGCTGACCCCAGATACAGAAGGTGTGGCTGGGGCCAGGTAGTGGTTCACTGTGACGCGTCCTCTTCGTGAAGGCAAAGAACACAGGACCATTACCTTGGCCAAGGCACTCAAACAACAGAGCGGAGATGTACGCGCTGCTGGGCGCACTGGTGAAGACCGAAGGAGATGCGGTATTCTTGGCGTATTCCTCCATACTGTGCCAACGATGGCACAGAAAACGACTGGGACAACGTCTACATCGGGAGCAACATAGACTTTTGGAACAAGCTGGGCAGCGTACTAGGTAGACGAGGTGCAGCCAACATCGAAGTGAATCATATCGAGAGTCGCTTTGAGAAAGAGGAGGCGTTGCTGAAGAGATACATCACCACTGGGGAAACCAACAAGCAGACGCACTGGCAGAAGAAGCAGCAGTGGCATATTTGATACCGAAGGCTCCAACAAGACTGCTTCGGCTGGGTGAACGCGGTAGGCTACCTCGTGAGGAACATAGTCAAGAGAGTTCCGCTGCAGGCGATCGACAGGGGCCCGTAGATGACCATGGAAGAGAAGCGACTGAGGAGAAATATCAATAATCAGCACAACGCAAGGCACATATATGAGGAATCTATCGAGTAGCTGGTGAAGAAGTCGCTGCACCTGCTGGCACACGACCATAGGAAGTGGAGTTGCAGGAGCTGCTGTGAATCATGCACAGACTTCGGCAAAGGCAAGGGTATCCTCAAGACGTGGCTAAAGAAGAAATGTGCAACCCACACTGCAGGAATGCGACATGCCAGACATCACGCGGTGGTTGGGAGTATGGAGGTGCACGTCACGCATGACATGAAACAGTGCACCGAGGGTGAAGAGGTGATTCTGGCTGCACTGTGCAGCGAGCATCGCGAGGCCAGACGGCAGCCAGGATGGCAAGAACGGCAGGATGAGTGACAGGCGCCAGGAGCCCTGAGCGAGACAGGCAACACATGGCTCACAACGGGGGGCTGCTCAGGCCCACCTCCACAGGAGCTTCCACAGTGGGGGGCGCCCCGAACAGTGGATTAGATTTTGGTGTTGCGTGGCTACAACCACCCGACATCATGAGATCGTCTGTGCGCGACCTGGTGTCGCCGCAGCACCAGGCACGCGACACACGTCGACGGCCCTCCGAAACCAAGGCGGCGCGCCAGCACCTCCGTGCAGTGCACGACAGGTGCGGGGGGGCAGCGCCGTGAGCGGGCGCTTCGTCGCTTCGCCTGTCGGTGCGGCTTCCCGCCCGAGCCCCGGGAGGTCGGCCCTGCTCGCCGAGGCAGCCGTCTGCCAGGGCCCAGAGGCGTGGGTGCCCCTTGCCGAAGAACAAAAAACGCTGCAGGCATACGTTTTCCGTCGGCGCGCGCGCGGCGCCAACAGGTTCCTCTTCTGCTTCCTCTTCTGCTTCCTCTTCTGCTTCCTCTTCTACGTTCTTCTGCTTCCTCTTCTGCCTCGGGCCCGCGGCCCCGCGGCCAGAGCGCCCTCCAGCGGCCTCGCGGCTGCCGCCGCTCGCGGCGAGGGGGTTCTGGCCCGGCCCCGCCGCGCGGCGGGGGCTCGGCCCGCCCGCGGCGGGGGCGGTGGGGGCTGGCGGCGCGCAGAAGCGGGCGGAGGGAGGGGGAGTGCTTCGTAGAAGGCGTGAGCCTTCTATCTACAGATGAGGCCGCGCCTCCTAAGAAGCAGGGGTGCCTCCGCCCCCCTCTGCGCGTGGCCGAGGGGGGGCTGCCCGGCCCGCAGAAACTCCACGGCGGCCCCCCGGTCCCCACTCAGGCGCCGCGGCGCTGCCGCCTCGCCGCCAGGATGGAAGCACTGCTGCCGCAGGCGCTAGGGTTGCTAGGCCGATCTTCCACCACCACTACCACGGGTAGGGGGAGGAGGAGGAGGAGGAGGAGGAGGAGGAGGAGGAGGAGGAGGAGGAGGAGGAGGAGGAGGAGGAGGAGGAGGCGAAGGAGGAGGAGCAGGAGAAGGAGGAGGAGGAGGAGGAGGAGAAGGAGGAGGAGGAGGAGGAGGTCCCCATCCTCCCCTTCCCCCCGTCCTGCCTGTGGCAGTGGTGGTGGAACAGCTGCCCATTCAGGACGCGTGCCTGGAGCGCGCCGCAGGTGGCGCGGCAGGTCACGAGGCGCGGCGCCGAGAGGGAGGCCGCGGCGGGCAGCGCAGCCGACGACGCGGCGGGCGGAGCGAGATTTTCAGGAGCAGATGCTCCTCTCGGGCCGCACGGGGCACCCTCCGGACTCGCTTCCCGTGCCGCGTCTCCTCGCCTGGCGGCGCTGCTTTCTGCTCGGCCCGCGGACGCGCGTCGTGGCGGATCTCGGTCTCCCAGGAACGATCCACCTCGTGTCGTGCGCAATCGGCACAAGGACAGCTGCGTACGAGGAGGAGGAGGAGGAGGAGGAGGAGGAGGAGGAGGAGGAGGAGGAGGAGGAGGAGGTGGCGGGTAGGCAGGGGGATGCGCAAGAAGAGGAGGAGGAGAAGGAGGAGGAGGAGGACGAGGAGGAGGAGGAGGAGGAGGAGGAGGAGGAGGTGGACGTGGCGGGCGA